CTACTACATGAGAAATTTCTGCAATTTGATTGGCTTAGAGCAGTGGTATTTCAGCTTAATTTGAAATACCTACATGTGAAAATTACAAACCTTGTGTGGGTAGTAGTATAAACAAATAATAGCATGATTTGCCCGTGATATTTGGCATGAATACCACTCGTGATATTTCAAAATTGTCGCAAATTTACTCGCCTAACGGCTCGTGAAATTTCGTGTAACAATTTCGAAATATCACTCGTGGTATTTATGCCAAATATCACTACAAATCATGCTGTTACCTATACTAATCTCAAGAAATAGACACATCGGAAAGTTTCCATTTACTTTTTTTTTCACCAGAGAAGTTAACAAAATTATTTTTGTTGAGGGAAGTTAAGCCCTCTTTCGATCGTAAAATGATGAAACTTCTATAAACATTAGATAACTCGCGTGCTTCCGTCACTACCACACTTTCGCCAAAACCCGTATGCAGTTGAATCTCTACTAACAGACATCTCTCCACAACGGCCACTCTCTTCTGTCCCCAAAGGGGGCCCTGTATGGAGAATGACGCCCCCCGGCTATCGCATTTTCCCGCCAAAATGACGCTGGTTCACGTCACCTGCACTACTTGTTGAGTATTTAACAAAAATATCTCATTTTCGTAGTAGTCCTGCTCTTACAGAATCTAAAATTCTCTAATAACTTCCTCTGTCAACAAGGGTAGAATTCTTACACCGGCATAAGTCGTAAACATTTAATCTGTAGTCGATGGCTTGACCTGCAGTATTAATGCATTTTTTATTTACAGGGTCAATGGTACATTGATGAATTCTCCAGAGTTTTCAAAGGCATTTGACTGCCCTCTAGGCTCACCAATGAATCCTAAAAAGAAATGCAAAGTTTGGTGATAAGTGAGAGTCATGATAAGGTGATCTATAAAATCATCTGGCAATAAAGGAACAAGAGACTGAGAAGCCCTCGCGTACCGATCGCTTTCTGTCGAAGTGTTGACTTAGCGTAACTGAAATCATTGGCGTGTTGCATGAAGTAAAATATATTTTTAGCCCAGTGCAAGACACTTCTCTGTAGCCATATAGTAAATAAGGTGGAATGGTCATGAAACCTTTCAGATTTCTTTGTTTTTTGCATTGTTAGTTTTCATTGGACTTGACGGTGCACAACGTTTAATCACCGAGTCCTATGTTTTCGATACTTTCCANAATGAATCCTAAAAAGAAATGCAAAGTTTGGTGATAAGTGAGAGTCATGATAAGGTGATCTATAAAATCATCTGGCAATAAAGGAACAAGAGACTGAGAAGCCCTCGCGTACCGATCGCTTTCTGTCGAAGTGTTGACTTAGCGTAACTGAAATCATTGGCGTGTTGCATGAAGTAAAATATATTTTTAGCCCAGTGCAAGACACTTCTCTGTAGCCATAGTAAATAAGGTGGAATGGTCATGAAACCTTTCAGATTTCTTTGTTTTTTGCATTGTTAGTTTTCATTGGACTTGACGGTGCACAACGTTTAATCACCGCGTCCTATGTTTTCGATACTTTCCAAAAATAAAATGTGTATCATGGGAGGTGTGCAAATGGCGAATAATTTGTTTCCTTACTTCATTACTATGGACCAGTTTGCGGCTGCATGTTAGACTGACACGATGGTTTGTCGAATTTCACTATGAGACAATGGAACTGTTTTGGGCCCAGTTTCCTATGATAGCATTTCCAAAACAGTCCCATAGTGCAATTCGACACAACACCGCCCCAGTCCCACTCTCAATTTAAAATGGCCAATAATGGTTTTGTTTGCGAATTGAAATGGTATGGGAATGCTTTCAGATTCTACTGGCTTGGGAATTCATTTATACACAACTTAGCTAATTCAGGGCATATGTTAGACAGGAAGCTTCACAACGGCGATTTTTAGCGCAGCACCAGCGTTGGTAATGTTGGAACAATGTTGTAAGTTCACTCAAAACAATGTCGCAACACTGTTGCAACCCTGTGTTGCGCTACAAATCGTCGTTGCGAGTGGAAACATCACCTTAACAAGTGGTGCAATCTGCTTGTCTGACGTAAACGTGCATAAAATATGCAATAGATTAATATTAAGATATGCTGCTCATAACGTTGTTGATAGATATTTTTTTAAACGCTGTAGTGTTATTCTTGTCGACAAACGCATGTTAATAAGTAAGGGCCTGTTTATATACTAGAGGTTAGGGATCTCACTCAGTAGGTGAAGTAACCCGCGGCGGGTTACCCCACCAATCATTTGAACATGATCAAATTATACTGACAGATTGTATGGACAGGCGGGTTACCTTACCTACCTGGAATCTCCCACCTCCATGTAAACAGGCACTAAGTATAAGCGGACTATATTATAAATTCAAGAGCATCTGTCATGGCTGTATTAGGTGAGGTTTTTTAGGAGAACAGTCAACTTTCTCTAAGACGGATACCTTAAGGACCGGTTCTGACTGTCCTTCTTAGGGAGGTGTCCGGCTTATAGAGGGTCGAGGTAACGACGTGACATCAGTAATTTTACAAAACTAAGGGCCTGTTTAAATGGAAGTGGGGAACCCCAGGTAGGTGAGGTAACCCGCTTTGATGGGGTAACCCGCTTGTCCATATAATCTTATAATTTCTCATATCAATTTGATCACGTTTACATGACGGACAGGTGGGGTGACCCGCCGAATGTTACCTCACCTATCTTGGGTCCCCCACCTTCATGTAAACAGGCTTTAAGGCTGAAGCTATTCCCAATGAATTAACCTCTGTTAAACTTATTCAAACAGCTAAAACTGGAACACTGTGACAGAAAAAAGGATTATTTTCTCATTGTGCAAACAAACGTTCACGGGCAGCTTCGTGGTCTAAGAGCATAACAGTATACACTCTGCGAACTGGAGCAACAGTTTATTGTCAAGTAGAGCAACTACATTTCTTTTTGGAGGTATTTTGCGCGGCTGCGTAAAACACTCCCTACCCCCCCCTCCTCATCTGTCCGTTGACTGTCTCAAAAATGCCCGTTGTCTGTCTTAGAGGGGTGTCCATGCATCTTATAGAGGTGCGCGTTAAGAGAGAGTTAACTGTATGATCATGACCTTTCCTCTACGTACGCTTTTTTCAAACATTGGCCAGTTCCTGGGCAGTTTGAGGATATCATGCAACGAGTTTTTCCTCATAAAGCAGTTGAATTTATTGGTTGCATTTTGTAATCATTTTGTCGTAGCAATTCGGTTATTTTGTATTAGCGTAGCGACTAAAACCTTCGCCATTGTGGTCTGAATGACCAAAGCCGTTAGGCCGCTACCCCACAATCATTTCGTGATGTCAATACTCCAATCAGATCAGGAGCCGATTAGTAGGAGCCTTCAACTCCCATATAAGCCCTAGCTTGGACTCAAGGCCTTTCCCGTGAAAATTTATTTACAGAAACAGCTTTGGCGGAATATTTTCACGCCTTCTTATAGTAATATCCAATTGGAGCTGCAGAGCTATTATCAAACCTCAGATACCTCATTATCGTATGCAGCATTTTCTTCTATCAGGGTCTGGAAGAGGTGACCTGATCCCATATTCCAGCGCCTTCTTCGCGACAATCCCGCGTCTCGAACTTCTGCCATCCCTTTCCCGAATACCGTCGTCTTTCCCGATACGATATCCGTGCCGAGATTTTAGCGCATCCCGCTTCACGAGAAGAGGTCAAAACTCCCGTATCCCATCAGAAAATTTAGCGTTTCTCGAATTCCGCACTGTAATCAGGTCTAACTGGCCGGATCTCTTGCCCCGGTTGTTAAAATCTAGGATATTGCTATCCACCGGATAAATCACTATTCATCGAATATTAGCGAAACCAAATGCTCTATCCACTGGATAGAGATTTCTACAGGGGGACGACATGGCAGCCTTGAATATCCGTAGTATGCCATACGTTTCCCCGTGTTTGTCTTGTTACTCCTGTGCTAAAAGGATCGCCTCTCTCCTCCCCATCACTGATTCACGCCTCTTGCCAGATTTTTTCAACGGAAAAGCTCGCATCACAGGCAGACCACTGTAACAAAATGGGAAGCCTGTGGGTAGAGTGGAAACCCCGGGGGGGCACTTTAGGAATTTCTGGTTGGGGATGTGCCGCTGGGACCCTCGAGCCCTTAACCTATACCAGAGCTAGTTCAGCTAAATTTTGCTACCCTTTACTAGAGTAAACTCCCCAAATCCCCCTATCCTAGAGTAGCAGTTTCCCAAGTCTAGATAAAATCTTCAACTAACTGATCAGTTTCCTGGAAAATGATACCCTATTCTAGACCCAAATGTTCTGATCTAACCCTATCCCAGAGTAAACTGCTTCAAAACCATACCCTTCACAGCGTCACATACCTATATAGCTCATATATGGCAGTACCACCCCCCCCCGGGGGCGGAAACAAATACCGTTAAATACGATAAACATTGTACAAAGAACACCACAACTGACACCAGAAACTTACCGGTACCTGCTTTGTTGCTTATGACGCTATAACCCACAAATACTGCCGCAATTAAATGTGAATCGTTATCTTCTAAGTTCTAATCGCATACTTGTGCAATCGAGTTGCATCATCGGCGCTAACACTGGTTTTCCACAAAATAGTTTAGGATCGCGAGAGAAGGACTGATTCTGGCTCACTTGCCTGTGCGTGAACTATATTGATTGGGAATCCTGTGGCACTAATGCATGAGCTGTCAGTCCGACTGTCAGGAAACGACAAAAACCCCTGTGCTGTATGTACAGGCAGTTTCGGCCCTGGAACTAGTTTCCTCAAGCCTATTTTTCACCTTCTTTGGCGTTAAAATGTTTTCAATTACCACGTTTGCTTTAGTTTTGGTTTGTATAAGCCAGTTAGCTGATATAAGTGCCACACAGGCAGTTTCGGCCCTGGAACTAGTTTCCTCAAGCCTATTTTTCACCTTCTTTGGCGTTAAAATGTTTTCAATTACCACGTTTGCTTTAGTTTTGGTTTGTATAAGCCAGTTAGCTGATATAAGTGCCACAAGATATGACCCGACTTGGGAGTCGCTAGATTCGAGGCCGATTCCTTCGTGGTACGACGAAGCTAAATTCGGAATTTTCATGCACTGGGGAGTTTATTCCGTTCCAAGTTTCTACTCAGAATGGTTTTGGTGGTGTTGGAAAGGTGCACATACTCAAGAATGCGTCGACTTCATGAAGAAAAACTATCGTCCAGATTTCTCATACGCCGATTTTGGTCCGATGTTCAAGGCAGAATTTTTCAATCCGGATCAGTGGGCCGACTTATTAGCTCGTTCTGGCGCAAGGTATTCTTTTGTACTTTACTTTTTTTAAAAGGCTTTATGGGGATGCTTTTTTATCCTTGATTTTATTTAGAGTATTATGGCGAATTTACCCTAATTATGTAACACAAAAGCTCAAACCCCTGAATGTCACATGACTCGTAACTAGTCAGCGGTGAGGATCGAGGATCGGGAATTGGGGATCGGGGATCGAGTATCGGGGATCGGTAAAAAACTAATAATTACAAATAGAATAACCGAAGAACTGCAGAAATAAATATGTAAAAAATGACACTTCCATGTTAACTTTGCACGTCATCATTCCATCACCTACCTAGATTATAGACAAGAACCATAAGCAGGCATGAGTTGCATTTTACCTGTTTTGGGTTTACAGTGCTTTGAAAATCTTAAAATTATTCCTTTTTTGGCGGTGTCGACAAGAAAATATTCAGATGTTGTGTCAGATCGCCAAGAAGAAACCTGCTCCGCTGGTGATACGCATAGCTGGCTGAGAAATTATCAGCAGGAAAACGAAGAAGATGCACTTCAATGAGCCATCAAAGTAAGCAAGGCACAGTCAATTTGCGAACAAGCACCTAAGAAGTGTGCTGTGATGGTGATAAAATTACTGTCTTTTTTTCTTTCGCAAATGCAAAATCAGAGGTAGATTTGTGTAAATCCACATTGGTCATTGTCTGCCAGATTTTTAGTATGAATGAAGGATATGTGCTGTTACAATGAGCTCATATTCCCAGTCCTGTTTTTCTTTGGTATTTCAAGCATGTAACATCATCTTCATTTTTTGGGCCCGAAGAGCCATTTTATTTCGATTTTCTTTTCACAATTGACCCCATGCACCAACCCTGTCAAAGAGCGCAACTGCACCAGGGTAACTGCAGGAAATAGTTTTGTTGTCAAAGGTACTGGTGCCTACTTTTTCGTTTGGAATACAAAACGAGTGTTATATGTCGTAACTCAAAATGTAAAAATTGTAAGGGCTGACAGAGATTTTACACTTTAAAAATTGAACAATGATATTTCTACATAGCTGTAAGTGGACCAAGATAAGGATTGCAGGAGCGTAGTGTCCATACACATATGCATTTACGCCCGTGCGTACATGTACAGCTGAAATATGAAAAAATTATATACTTCTGATTTCCCCAGAAAGTCTTTTTTCATCATTAAATCAGGATGACTGATACATTTTTTGCACCACAGTTTATATTGGTGTCTTTGTGTCAGTATTTCTTCTACCTTTTACTGTTATTCCATAATTCTGAATGTGTCACTGGCCTTTTTTCCCCGTAAACAGTGTACCTTACCGACAACACTAGAGAAGGGTAAAGTAAACAAATATAACTACTGCATTTTCAGGCATATTAATGTACTGAAAATGTCCGGCGGAAAACGCTGTAGCCTGCGTAGCAAGCGTTTCCGTTTGGTTTCAGAGCAGAAAGAGACCACGAAACAGTACAAAAAAAAAAAGCATGAATTAAGGACACTCAACTTGGGTCACACTGCTCTGATACACTGTACCTGTCTCTCTCTCTTCCAATGTTGTTTTGTAATGGTTGTCCAAGTTTCAGGCCAACAATGAAAGGAACAGGGAAAAGGAGGTCGAGCACAACATGTCAACATTATTCAATCGACCCAAGTTCTAATGTCACAGATTGCAGCTCTTAGATTATCCAGGTGAACTCTTTGATAGTCTTACAGGGACATTTCTTCTAATGCCAACAATGTTCTTTTTTTGTTGTTGTTTGTTTTGTTTTTTCTAGGTATTTTGTTCTTACCAGTAAACACCATGAAGGTTGGACAAACTGGAGATCCAATGTGACTTGGAATTGGAACTCTGTGGATAATGGACCTCACAGAGATCTTGTGGGTACGAAACACAGTCATTACCAGTACACTGTTTATTATGAGATTTTTAATTTTTGGCAGATAAATTTTTAACATTATTGGTGACTTAAATAAGGTATGTGAAGTTTTGTTCATCTGGGCCCAGTTGTTTAAAGGCTGATTAGTACTTAACCCAGGGTTAAATTTAACCTGGGTTTCTTTTTCTTTTGTTCAAAAGCATTTTCTCGGATAGTTTTCTCTGTTATTGTTAAGAGCATTCAATCATCAATTTGATGATAAAAAGAATTAAACTGAATTTACTTTTCAAGCTTTCATATCTGAATTCAAATTTCGCACTAACCTTAGGTTATCTTAACCCAGCTTTGAACAACCCGGCCCTGACTAATATTAAAATGTCATAGACTTCCAACTTTTCTTTTGGCTGTGGACAATTATTTTGCATAAATAGTTTTGTTTGGCCGCTTATACGCTCTTCTCACATATGGTAATATGCCCGTCTAACCTCTTTTTTGAGTAAAACGTCCTTTGAAATCCTAATCAGACGACGTTTTCGTATTTGAATTCAAAAGAATTTTTACCCGTAAACGAGGTTAGACGGGCATATTACCATAAGTGAGAAGAGCGTATTGTGCAGCTTATTTTGATGTTGAGTGATAACAATAATAATGAATAATATTGGAAACTTTATTTGTGTTTGAGTTTCCATTATAATAATAATAATAATAATAATAATAATAACAATAACGATAATGATCCAATGATAATAATCATTATAAGAATTTTTTTTATTATTATCACAATGTACACAATAACTATAAGACAAAACTCTATAATATTTATATTACATTACATTTAACGATGTTCTGTAGTGGATTTACACAATTGTTTACAGTGTATGAACAGGGAGAATTTTTTTTTTTAACCATCATTTGTTCAACTAGGTGAACTTGCATCATCCATCAGGAAACGCACCAATGTCACGTTTGGCTTGTACTTTTCATTGTTTGAGTGGTTTCACCCTCTTTACCTCAAAGACAAAGCCAATAAATTTCAAACACAAGATTATGTTGATGTAAGTAAATGTATATCAAACAAATTTAATACTATTATCATCAACATTGCATTGACACAACTGCATGCCATAATTATAAAGAACTAGTATAATTATGCATGTATATGCATGTAGATGTTTAGATGTTGTGGTTCAATTTTTATCCTTTGGTTCAAATTTCATTTTTCTTTGTTTCAAACTGATTATCATTCACTATGATATCCAACCACAAAGGAAAATAAAATTGGAACCAATGATAGCATTGAAACACAACATGGAATCATACATTGTAAATTAATTCTGAACACAGACATTTAACCCTGCTTTTCAGACACTCGCTTAATACAGACACCTCACTATTATGGACAGTTTTCTATGTCCTTGGGGAAAGCTCTTATATTTTCTCTTAGGTATTTCTCTTATATACCTGTTTAACATAAACACCCATTAATTCAGACAAAGGACACCTATTTCTTGTCCAATCAATGAATTCTCATAGAAAGCCAACCTTGCTAATGCAGACACTTCATGATCAACTGTGTGCCATAATAGACCTTACCTTTTTGAAGGCAAAAAAAACCTTCCTTTGAAAGGATGTCGATGTTCCCAGCACTTGCATACGTTCAATAGGATGATTTGTAGACGTCAATTTTTGGCTTCAAACGAGTTATGCAGTTAAGGGTTTTGATTAAGTTATACTATAAATGGGTGATTTTCAAGTGTTTGCACGTAATTACAGCTTTGTTACGGTTAGAGACGTTTAATTTGATGATGCTTATGTCCTCTTTTATTTCTTTGGTATTTTGTTCTAGTAAAAGTTTTTTTTTTAAAAAAAATGACCTGCTAAATACGTACACCCTGTTAATAAGGTCACTTTCTGTGTTCCCTTCCGAGTCCGTATTAACAGGGTTTGACTGTATTGAGAAGTTAAGGTGGGAACACACCATAGGCAACAAGTTACAATTACAGCAACACATCATAGCAATTTGTCGCCTTGTGTGTACTGTCAAAATCTTTGTTTCTGTTTAGTGGAAACTCAATATGATGAAGGGCCAAGGGACTGGCAAAAGTTGTTCACTATGAGGAGGTTTTGTTATACTGAGTTTCTTTTTCATATTACTAGGATAAAGAAAATTGTTTGTTATGCTGAGGACTTTGTTATATACACTGTAGAGGTTTAAATCAAGGTTCCTCTGTAACAGAATGTTTGTTGCTTTTTAAGTGGCCCCAAATCAAATTGTGATTTGTTGCTGTGACATATTGCAGTGAAATGTCGCCTAATGTGTTCAACGTGACTACTGGTTTCCCCCCTTGAAATGACTTCTGAGAAATGAGCGTAGTTATTCCATACTGATTACATGCCACTCCCCAGATCTAGGTAGTGCTTTTGATTCATTGAGGCAAATTTCCCTCATGGTAAGACAGATCAGAAGCACTTCTCAGATCTGAGTAGTAATATATCATCAGTATGGAATTTCCTGCGCTCTTTCCTCAGATGCTATTTCACTGGAAATTCCGGAAAGCAGTAGTAGTATTGCAAAATGTTTGCTGTTTCCTCAGGCTCAGGCTTTTTTTTCTTTTGCAGGACGTCATGGTGCCTCAAATCTATGACCTTGTAAACACCTATAGACCTGAGTATATTTGGTCTGATGGAGACTGGGAGGCACCTGATACCTACTGGAAGAGTAAAGAATTCTTGGCCTGGTTATACAATGACAGGTATGATGTATGCACTGTATCACTCACATTTCTTTGAATAACCACCCATGACCTTGGTAATACTTTCCTCCCCTTTACCTTACCTTCTTAAGAAAGCCTCTAATAGTAATTTGAGTTGAGTGCCTGTAAAAACTAGATGGAATAGCCACATGTAAGTGCTTTTTTCCACTATAAACAAACCTTTTACCTTTTAACCTTTTAAAGGTATACCCTCAATAGACCTTTTCTACTTGTAGGTTTTATTTTCCCACTTCAGACCAGGGAAATTGCGTTTTGTCTTTTGATGAATTATGCATACATATATTTATGTAAATACACTGTACATGGATAGGATAGCATTTTGAGAGAAACTTTTCCCCACCCCCCCGCCCCCCAAAAATTTTCTTATGGTCCTTCCCTTACCATTTGTATCGTAAAGCTGAAATTTGGGTTGGAAAATCAAATGGTTTGCACCATTCCGTTTTGGAAGCTTCAGAAAATATGGGCCACAGGGAAGCCAAAGGCTGTATTAGCTATAAAGCTCAAAATTATGGGCACTGTTGCATAAAGATTCCTGAAAAAAATGCAGGGAATCAATCTTACAAATAAAGTCGGTAATAGAGACAAATTTACATGTTTGTTTGTTTGTTTTTTCTCACACAGCCCTGTGAAAGATACAGTTGTGGTGAATGACCGTTGGGGTGCTGGTTGCATGTGTCACCATGGTGGCGCGTATACCTGCTCTGATCGGTACAACCCAGGTATTACTATCCTTCTGCTTTACACATTACTGCAGTTATGTTACATGTATTTCCTTCAATTTACATTGTGAACATTTAAGACCTGTCCATAAGTATCCTGGTTTTTATTTGAAAAAAAGAAAAAGATTTATAGGTTTTTCTCCATAATTTCAGTTCCAAAACATTATTTCGCCAGGGTTCGCACAGTCTTGAAGAGTCTTTGAAGTTTTGGGGAATTTTAAAGTCCTTGAAACGTTCTTGAATTCCATTTTCCCTTGAAAAGTCTTAAAATTTCTGTGCAAGTCCTTAAAAACTCCTTTTGAACGATCGCCAACTTTGGATTGTAGTGGTCTGAAAAGTGCTTTTTAATACTTTTTGGTTGTGTAGTAGGGGTTTAACAGATTTCGATTATTGCCTTTCGATTTGATTCTGTGAATGTTTCTTAATTCTTACAACATAATACGTAATGCAAACAACATGCCACCCTAACCCCTCAATTTGAGAATAGTAAGAGGACAGGAGGATTCACAGTCGCTTGGTCGTTTGTCGCCATGTTTGAGAACCTGACAAAGAGCAACATGGTTTGGCTTAGATGGAAATTCTCAGGGGGTGGTTGAAGGACAGCATTTTGGCGCATGAACTGCAATCGTATTTGCTCGTCAGTCAAAAGGCACATTCTAAAGAGTTCTGGATTCTGATTTTTCAATATAATAACTCACTGAGGGCACCCTAGAAAAGTTATGCAAAAATCGAGCCAAAATCGAAACGTGGAAGCAAAGAATCGTGAATCGAACCGGTCATAATCGCGATTTATCTAGAATTTGATCTGTTTGATTAATCGTTACATCACTGTTGTCCAAAACAGAATATGAATCATGGCTCAGAGAAGTAAAAGGTGATTTACATCAAGCGTTTTTTGTTGTATGCAAGAAATAACTACAGCTATATCAACTTGAGACAAGTGTACTGAAAAATGTAGAGAAGTTGGTGGAGCAAACAGTTCAAGCCTTAAAGTCCTGTTAGAGTGGATTTGGAATGTGCGTTTTTGTGTAATCTGTGAAAATACATTCCTGGTACATGTAGGTGGTCCTTGAAAAGTCCTTAAAAATGGTTGCAATTTTTAGTATAAACCTTTATGCTATCAGTGACCTGTCTCCATTCTGTGCTTTTCAATGTTTCTTTCATTAGGTATCTTGCAGAAACACAAATGGGAAGATGCTATGACAGTTGATAAGAAATCATGGGGCTATCGCAGAAACACTGTATTGTCAGATTTCCTCACCATGGATGACTTGACCTCTATTCTGGCTTCAGCTGTAAGGTGAGATAAAATTCCCTGCTTGCCCGCTTTTTCCCTTCCTGCCTTTATGGTTTGATAGAATCTGTTGCCATACTTCAGTAAAAATGCGTAGAAGGTACGCATGTTATGCAGTTGTAAAAAGAAAGCCTGAAAAATCTGAGGGGAATGTAACTGTAGTCCCACCTCTGCACTACCAAATTTCTGTTCCATCAGTCTTGTAATTGCTATTTTGTTTTCCCCTTTTTTGTAATAGTTGTGGTGGAAAAATGGGCGGCGAATTGTTTTGTTTTGGGCGAAAGGACCCGATTCGGAGGCGAATAATAGCTGTAGTCCCACGTCTTCATTTGTATCATGTCTTTTTGCAATCGATCTGGTAATTGCCATTAATTTTCCCTTTAAATTGTGATATTTGTGGTGGTAACACTGGTGGCGAATTGAATCACTTTTGGCGAACGATCCGAATTGGGGGCGAATGTATCTGTAGTCCCACCTCTGCTGTGCTAATAGACGTTTTAGCTTCTAAGTGTCGTTTTTCTATTTCGGGCCACGTTATTGTACCCCAGAGAAATGTTTTTTTTTCAAATATCGTCTTATGCACGTGTGTCCACGTGCCTATGTATGCATAAGGCAAATTCCCTGGAGAACATCACGTGGTCTAAATTGGGAAAACAAAACATACAAGGTAAAAAGGTGTATTGTCTAGTGCACTATCAGTCTTGAATGTGTTATTGATTTCACCCTTTTTTGTAACAGCTGTGGTGGAAATTTGCTGATGAACGTTGGACCAACATCAGACGGTAGGATCGACCCTATTTTCCAAGAACGTCTGGAACAGATGGGAGATTGGCTTAAAGTTAACGGCGAGGCCATATACGGAACCAAACCCTGGCACACACAGAATGACACCTCAACTCCTCATATATGGTAAGCAGTTATATCACAGGTAACCCAGGCTCACTATTTGTGTCACGTACTGGTTTCATTTGACATGAGTAAATATAGAGAGCATATTGGGCCAAGTTTAGGTCTGGAAATTTGCTAGAAAATGGAAATAAAAATCGATGAAACTTGCCAAATTTCCAGACCTAAACTTCGCCCCATATGATCTCTATATTTACTCATGTTATATGAAACCCGTACGTGATACATATAGTGAGCCTGGGTTACCTGTCGTTATGTGGGAGATATAGTATAGCTCTTTGCCCTTTCATAAGACGTTCCTTAAAGGAGCTCTGTCTCGAAATATATCAAAATTTAAACAGTGGGACCTGCTTCTTAATTGAGTGAAACATAAAGATACACCGCTCAAAACATTGAAAGACATTTACATCAATTCAGGGAAACTGAGCTGGTAGAAATTTCATTACTGTCTGGCGTGTGAATTCACTGCTCATTACGCATGCAACAATGCAGAGATGAATCTGAAACGGATTCAACTTTCGAATAATAATGCAGTTTAAGAGATTAAGGCCTCCTCAGGTCTGCAAGTTTACTCCATTATAGTGGATGTTGTCCGTCGAGTTGTCTTCTTGGTGTTCTTGCGATGGTTTTAGACAATATTTCGCCGTGAAACGAGTAAAATCCGCGACAGTTCCGCCATTTTGTTCAAACTACCAAAACAACTTAACCTCGTCTCCTGGTTTTCTCGGTCAACGGTTCAATAACCTGTAACCAGGCTGCACTTTTGACGTCATTTTGACGTCATCGATTCAATATGACAAAATTCGGATCTCGACCCAGAGCTCCTCTGCGCATGTAGAGGAGAGAGATGAAGAGCCCATTCCCAAACCCGTAAGCACTGGGGTCGAGAATAAACAAAATTCTTTCCAAATTTGGTCAACAGCAGCTGGTTATGGTGAATTATGCATGTGGTTTTAGCCAATCAGAAACGGGGAAATATTTTAAATGAATATTAAATCACTAATGGAATCTTCAACTTACTTTTGGGGGGAACATATGCACGCTTGACCTGCCTTGACTATAAATGGCTATGAGCGACTCGCTAACGCGTCGAACTGAAACCGTGTTTTCACAGGTATACCAGCAAACCAGGTGTTACCTACGCCATTACTCTGGAGTGGCCTACAACAGGCACGCTGAATCTTAGTGTACCGATTACAACAGCGACTACCACAGTGAATCTGCTTGGCTTGCCTGATGTGAAAATCCCTTGGAAGGCTTTAACTAGTCATAGTGGAATTATGATTTCTGTACCGCCCCTAACTGTCTCTGAAATGCCCTGCAAATGGGCTTGGGTCTTTAAAATGAGCAATGTTGAGTGATGGCTGTATGCGTTATTTTTCTCAATTGTTTCTTTCTAAATTTGTAAATTCAAAAAACTTCTGGGCCCAGTTGTTCGAAGGTAGATTAGAACCAACCCGGGTGTCAATTTTAAGCCGGGTTTCTTTTTCTTTTGCTCTAAAGCAGTTTCTCCGTTAGTTTTAAGCATTTTGAGAATCCTCTGAGCAAATTGTTGACAAAGGGAATTAAACTAAATTTGCCATTTAAACTTTCATATGTGAATTCAAATTTCAGGCAAACTCTGGGTCATCTTAACCCAGCTTTGAACAACCCGGCTGTGAAGTTTATTTTTTATATTTCGAGCAGTGTCACTGTGGGTGCCGGAGACTTTTCATGCGTGGTTTCCTGTTTTGCACAGTAATTTTCAAGGAGTTATAATAACTCCTCTACTGAGGCTAATTTGACTCCTTACAGTGGAGTTATTTTGGGGGGAGTTATTTTAACTCCAAAAAGGAGTTTAAAGAACTCTTTTTCAGGAGTAAAAGTGATCCCAGATATTGAGGAGTTAAAATAACCCCCAAAAAGGAGTTATCCTGTACCTAAAATTTTTACTCCACTTTCAGAGTTAAATAAACTCCAAAAAGAGTAAAAACAACCCATGTAAGGAGTAAAAATAACCTCATTTCGGAGTTATTTTAACTCCAGACTGGGAGTAAAAAGAACTCTTTTTCAGGAGTTAAAATGATCCCAAATTCGGAGTTGAATTAGGAGTTAAAGTAACCCCCAAAAAGGGGTTATCCTGTACCTAAAATTTTTACTCCATTTTCGGAGTTATAATAGCTCCCTAAAAATTACGGTGTGGTTAAGTCTTTATACTGACACGCGTGAAAAGTCTTCTTCTTGCGGCTTCGCTGCTTGTGGATTCGGCATGCGACTGATCCTAAAGCATCTTCGCCACACTCAATCGCCGCGCGCGAGAAAAAAATCCTCTGGTACACTGGCTAGAGTGGTTTAGAAACTCACTTTTTTTGTAGTTTTGATATCCTATCGGATTAGTAGCTATAATCAAAGCTCGCCCCTAAGCGACCAGCTCTAATTACGTCCACGATTGTGAAACCTCGTTTGAAATATGATGAAAAGCTCTTGTAAGCGACCGTCCCGGTTAACGACGGTCACCACCTATGGTAATTGCCGAACAGTCTATGCCATTTTTCAGTTATCAAGCTGCTTTAAGCGGCCACTCATTCATTCTTATTCATAAAAAGGATTAAGTGTTGTATTGTGGCTAGCCTGCGTAGCAAGCGTTTCCAATCGAGTTATTTGCGCGAAACTGAAAGTTGGGGAGCCTGGCAGTTCTAACGACTTTCGTTTTTTCTTTCTTTTTCAAATTTCGTGTAGTTACTTTGTCTGTGACAAAGGGTTAGCGTGGAAATTTGCCTGTTAATGTCTTGTTATAAACTTGTAGACTCTAAATAAACAACGGTAAAATGTTGCTTTGCATTACTTTTCTTGTTGTGTAATCGCCGATGCTAATAACGTTTCGTAAACTGTTGTTGCCATAGACCTATTCGGCTAACTCAGTGTTGTACCCAATTCAAATCTCCCTGGGGTTAAGTTTTTTTGTGTATTGTATTTGCATTGTAATGTGGTATTTACATTTTAAATGATCTGGAAATTCCTGAAACAAAGCGTTTTATTCCCAAAGGGTTTGAATTGGGTACAACATTGAGTTAGCCGAATAGGTTTATTTTGACGGCTCATGTCACCATTGGCAACCAGCCTTTAGTGGTCTTAGATAAAAATAAAGGGGATGTGTCACGTCTGGTTCTTACTCGGAATGGAACTTAAGGTTAGCGAGGAAATTTATTACTGGTAAATCACAAAATCACAGCTTCACGTCAAACAAGCATTAAATCATACGTTACAGACAACAAAAATAAAATTTGAAAATATGTTAGGCTGACCTTTTTTCGAAACCCGCAATTTTCAATCCGTTCCAATCCTCTTCAAGTTTGTCCATCCGTTTTTTCTTTTCTGTTATCTGTCTTAGTTATACCTTTTTGCCAAGTTTTGAGTCGTTATTTTTATGTTTCGCTAAATTTGATGGCAGCTCCCACGGTTTGAATTTTATATCAAAGAAGATCATCGCAGTTATAGACGCAAATTTGGAGTTGCGAAAAGAAGGCCCGAAAAAAATTCGGGCTTGTACGGGATTCGAACCCTTGACCTCTGCGATACCGGTGCAGCGCTCTATACCAATTGAGATAAGAAGCCAACAAGGAGCAGGTCGTTAAATTGCGATTCAGCGACAGAAATTCCATACTGACGACGTAAAATCTATCCGGAATCCGGTCAGAAGCGCTGATTGGTCGACGGAGTTGTTACATTGTTTTAGCTATTGTTTACGAATGATAGACAAATAACAAAAGGCCACAAAGGTCAAATGTAAGGGACTTGTCAGAAATTAGCAGGGGGGAGGGGGGTTGGGAATTTTAAATTTGGGTTTGGAAATTAGGTGACCCATCTCTGCAATGGGAGTGAAATTTGCTAACCCTCCCCTTGAGCTTGGCCTAAAATATATGACCCTCCCCACCTTACAGAATTGAAAGAAAAATGTTCCAGGCTCTTTAAGGAGCAGTATTCCAAGCCAACAAGAAAAAAAGGAAACAAAAACAAAATAAAAGGAAAGCAAAAAAAGCTAGGGCAAAAAGAATGGAAGTTAACTGCAAAAGAGTTATTGAAACCATTGCACCTCAGCACGAGTCGCATGATGTTACAGGGCCTAGTGGTCCATTATCTCTTCATTATGAAGGAATAAGTGGGCTCCTCAAAACCCAAAGGCCATATATCCAATATGCTTTTGAGAAGGGATTGTTCACAAATTAATGAATCACAGGAAATTATCAAGCAATATCTATGCTTCAACTTAAATGAAAATCATGATGATGATGAAAGTGATTGTATCAATGCTGTTGACATAAATGATGATGATCAAGATGCTCACAGCAGCATTGATGGTGATGCTGAAGACAGTGATGAAAAGGATAGCCAAAACTCTAATAACATTAATAACATTATTCATGACAAAAATGAAATAAGACTCTATAGCATTGTTATAAATGAAAAGTAGATGTTTGTTAAACTCTTGCAATAGTACTTCACAGTTTATATCCATAATGTTCCGTTGTTCTTTTTTTATTATCTTTTTTTTTTGTATATAGCCTGACATTACTGAGGGAGAAATAACGACTCGAAGAAATCGGATGAAATTCAGGCTATTTTTTTTACCAAATAAAGAACTTCCTTTTTCTTGTGCGGGTGAACCTCTACATGATCACGGGCATATATTTGCCTGACCCTCTCCCTTTTAACGGCACATTTTTCATGATCCCTCCCTTTTCTGAGGCTCAAAAAGATGTGACCCTCCCTCTGTTTCCACTCCCCCTCCCCCCTGCTAATTTCTGACAAGTCCCTTAAAACGCGATGAATCTCTAACAATGCTTGTGAAATATAGTCTTCTTTAGAAGAAGCATTTGAGTTTTGCTGGAGCTTGTTGCCAGATTAACACAACAGCTCACCAAAATCCACCAGGAGAAACATAAAATCAAACAAATTTGCATTCGGAACCCCATGACTACCGGATTCATTATGTAAACATTGATTTACGTCATCAATTTCTGTCGCTGAGACGCAGACGTTCCTCCGCGCTAAACGTCCGCCCGGCGAAGAACGTGGAGAAACGGCTGTTTTCGCAGGCTAGGTCAGCAGTGGCTTTGTTTATAATAACATAAGAAAAGGGAGGGTTCGATTCCTACAGAATTGATCACTAGGGACACTAACATGGCCACCGTTTTACTGTTTTGAGACACGGTAGGACGGACGTGGTGTCATGTGAACATAGCCTATCCCCATTCGCCACTTTAGAAACGAGAAGCGACCTGAGGCCGAAATGCGTCTCGCAATTGCTTTTGGGATCGTTTCTGTGGACGTGCTCGTCAGTTATTGGCCAATTGAGTTGTTTCTCTGTCCCTGTCAACAGTCCCAGAAGTCTTTACGAAAGTTAACTTGACCCAGTTCCCTCCTCGGTTTTGTTTAAAGTGGCGAACTGGTTAGTTATGCCAGAGCGCCGTGTACACGTTTGTTTTTTTCTTTCTTTTAACAACAATGCAGTCGAAAGTGCTGCCAGTTCATAAAGTGTTTTCGCATCTTCTGTGGCCATGCTAAAATAGGGGGCTCAAACAAAGACGTTTTGAGCGACGCACGTCAATCGCAAGTGGACTTTTTGCATTCTTCAACAGTGGTTTTGTACAGGTGATCGATCTCGCATTAAAAAAGATTAAATCTTTTAGTTCTTCTCAAAAATATAGTAATATGTAAAAGGTTTTCAAAGGTTTCATAACGGTCAGATGTAGGGCCTGCCACCTGGCCTATTTCGCTTTTGTGGGAGATACACAACAAAGAATACAAAACAGTGGAAAATTAGCCAGCCCGGTGACTTACTCTCCGAGAACCCGGTGACGACACAGATTCCACTGGGTCTGCTACAGAGGGGTGTCTCGAATGAAAAAAAAGAGAGTAATAATAAAATAAAATTAACTTTGCGATCATATGACAACAGAGCGAGCCCTGTTAGCCCTGACCTCGGTTAGGCCATCCTCTTTTTTTCTCCGTTTAGCGTCGTCCAAAAAAAAAGTAACGACGTAGTTAAACCATTTTTCACTTGAAATAATTCTTTTAATCTGAAAACTGAGCACAGTAACAGCATAGAGAAAATCAGGAACAAAGACAGGAACATTTTTTACAGTATATTGTGCATTTTGTTAATCCAAATATGTAAATGTTAACTTTTAACGTCATCCTGGGGTACCAGGGCCTCCTATCCCGAGATTTCTTGTGATTTTTTTTTTTCAATCCGACCGGCCGACCCAAAATCAGCAAATGCATTCGACCCTAAACGAAAAAAAAAGGGGAGATGGCCCTAACTTGTCTAAATTTATAGTCAAAACAATGAGCCACTGTTCACTACACCGCTGACTTGAACATGCGCAAATTCGGTGAGTGTTGGGTTTCATGGAACCCAGGAATTCTCGACATTTGACTTCATTACATTCCTCCCTGACGTAACTGTTCGGTGAAGATTCAGTGACACAAATTATTCAATAAGTCATTGGGTTATAAGGGAAGAAATGATAGTGCAAGCCATTGATTACCTGACACAGTCATAAGAGGTCTGAATGGAGTGGTGCATGTGGCTGGTAAGAGTCTTATGGCATTTTACACCAGGAACATCTCATCGTCGCATAAGGAAATGAAAACATGCAAGTAAGTTTAAGACTTTGATTAACAGAGATATCAAATACGCATTATTTCATGACGAAGGAAGCAATTTGACCTTCTACACTTAATTTTTAACAAAGATACAAGAAACTTTCTTTCCTACAGAGCATTTTTCGGAAAGACTAATTCTGTCCCTCTTAAATTTTGAATGGTTTATTAAATAGTTTTTGTTATTCCATGTCGAGTGAGGTGGAACATTGAACTTTCCTAAAAGGGGATAAATGTTGTTGTCATTTTATTTTTTCTTAAACTTTAGAACCAAAACTTTAAAATAGTTATACTTTGACTTTAAGAGAGGTGTTTTTTTGAAATATGTCTTGAAAATTATAAGAAGGAAATAAATCATCACTATTATTATGAAAAAAAATGTTTTGTAAACTTTTGAAAAGTTGAGCAGGTTACCTGTTGTCTGTTATGATACGATAAAGTTGGTTGATATTGGAATTAATACCGGGCAAATACTGAGGAAAAACCTAAAATCATTTCATGCCTAGTAGATAAAAGCAAAAAAGGTCAGGTTATGCTCTTTACCGAAAAAGAAAATTGGACAACAGAAATCCCTCTGTAAAATAAAACCGAAAAATGTGTCAGTTTTAAAACACTACGTGAGTTATTCGGGACCTTTGAACTACATTTGGCTCATTTCTAACATTTGGAAGTTATGTTTTTAGTTTTTAGTCTTGTCGTTGCTAACCAGATACATTCTAAATTGTAGGCAATAGTGATACATAAAAACGCCAAAGTTAAATTTTAATTTAATTCCAGTTCTTCTAGAAGACTGGAAAATACATCTGGCCTTACATATTAATGTCTCGGTTTCTTCAATTTCAACGGAGTGAAATGCCAAATTCAAGAAGAGTCGTCAATAAAGGGGCTTAACTCAATTTGAATCGATCAGTTTTTGTTAAACCAGATTTAAAATACTGACATTGTAGTTAAGTTTAAAGTAATATTTATGTGTTCCCGTCCTTGAGGCGGCATCAGATAGTGGCGAACACTCTTCACTGCACGCTACTACAAGACGAAGAACCGTTTATGCTCCATGTAGAGCGTTATTACAATGTCATGTGAAATAAGATTTTCATTCACGGAAACCTCCTCACTCGTGTTCAGCACCATAGGTTTCCTTTCGAGGAGAAATAAAGG